AACTTCCAAATTCATTCTACGAGGCCAACATCACCCTGATACCTAAACCAGACAAAGACACTTCAAAGAAAGAAAACTACAGACCAATATCTCTAATGAACCTAGATGCAAAAATCCTCAATAAAATTCTGGCCACTCGGATACAAAAACTTATCAAAAAAATTGTGCACCATGATCAAGTAGGATTCATCCCTGGGAATGCAAGGCTGGTTCAATATAAGGAAATCAATAAATGTTATTCACCACATCAATAGACTTAAAAATAAGAATCATATGATCATCTCGATAGATGCAGAAAAAGCATTCGACAAAGTACAGCATCCCTTTATGTTCAAAACTCTAGAAAAACTAGGGATAACAGGAACATTCCTCAATATTGTAAAAGCAATCTATGCTAAGCCTCAGGCTAGCATCATTCTGAATGGAGAAAAATTGAAGGCATTCCCTCTAAAATCTGGAACAAGACAGGGATGCCCTCTCTCACCACTTCTGTTCAACATAGTTCTCGAAACACTGGCCAGAGCAATTAGACAGACGAAAGAAATTAAAGGCATCAAAATAGGAAAAGAAGAACTTAAATTATCACTATTTGCGGATGACATGATTCTATACCTAGCAGACCCAAAAGGGTCTACAAAGAAACTATTAGAGCTAATAAATGAATTCAGCAAAGTGGCAGGATATAAAATCAACACGCATAAATCAAAGGCATTCCTGTATATCAGCGACAAATCCTCTGAAATGGAAATGAGGACAACCACTCCATTCACAATATCTTCAAAAAAAATAAAATACTTGGGAATCAACCTAACAAAAGAGGTGAAAGACTTATACAATGAAAACTACAGAACCCTAAAGAGAGAAATAGAAGAAGATCTTAGAAGATGGAAAAATATACCCTGTTCATGGATAGGCAGAACTAACATCATCAAAATGGCGATATTACCAAAAGTTCTCTATAGGTTTAATGCAATGCCAATCAAAATCCCAATGGCATTTCTTGTAGAAATAGAGAAAGCAATCATGAAATTCATATGGAAAAACAAAAGACCCAGAATAGCAAAAACAATGCTAAGCAGGAAGTGTGAATCAGGCGGTATAGCGATACCAGACTTCAAACTATACTACAGAGCAATAGTAACAAAAACAGCATGGTACTGGTACCAAAACAGGTGGGTGGACCAATGGTACAGAATAGAGGACACAGAAACCAATCCACAAAACTACAACTACCTTATATTTGATAAAGGGGCTAAAAGCATGCAATGGAGGAAGGATAGCATCTTCAACAAATGGTGCTGGGAAAACTGGAAATCCATATGCAACAAAATGAAACTGAATCCCTTTCTCTCGCCATGCACAAAAGTGAATTCAAAATGGATCAAGGAGCTTGATATCAAATCAGAGACACGCCGTCTGATAGAAGAAAAAGTTGGCTACGATCTACATACTGTGGGGTCAGGCTCCAAATTCCTCAATAGGACACCCATAGCACAAAAGTTAATAACTAGAATCAACAAATGGGACTTACTCAAACTAAAAAGTTTTTTCTCAGCAAAAGATACAATAAGAGAGGTAAATAGAGAGCCTACATCCTGGGAACAAATCTTTACTCCTCACACTTCAGATAGAGCCCTAATATCCAGAGTATACAAAGAACTCAAAAAATTAGACAATAAGAGAACAAACAACCCAATCAACAAATGGGCCAAGGACCTGAACAGACACTTCTCAGAGGAGGACATACAATCAATCAACAAGTACATGAAAAAATGCTCACCATCTCTAGCAGTCAGAGAAATGCAAATCAAAACCACCCTAAGATACCATCTCACTCCAGTTAGATTGGCAGCCATTATGAAGTCAAACAACAACAAGTGCTGGAGAGGATGTGGGGAAAAGGGTACACTTGTACATTGCTGGTGGGACTGCAAATTGGTGCAGCCAATTTGGAAAGCAGTATGGAGATTTCTTGGAAAGCTGGGAATGGAGCCACCATTTGACCCAGCTATTCCCCTTCTCGGTCTATTCCCTAAAGACCTAAAAAGAGCATGCTACAGGGACACTGCTACATCGATGTTCATAGCAGCACAATTCACAATAGCTAGACTGTGGAACCAACCTAGATGCCCTTCAATGGATGAATGGATAAAAAAAATGTGGCATTTATACACAATGGAGTATTACTCTGCATTAAAAAATGACAAAATCATAGAATTTACAGGGAAATGGATGGCATTAGAGCAGATTATGCTAAGTGAAGCTAGCCAATCCCTAAAAAACAAATGCCAAATGTCTTCTTTGATATAAGGAGAGTAACTAAGAACAGAGTAGGGTCGAAGAGCATGAGAAGAAGATTAACATTAAACAGGGATGAGAGGTGGGAGGGAAAGGGAGAGAGAAGGGAAAATGCATGGAAATGGAAGGAGACCCTCAGAGTTATACAAAAGTACATACAAGAGGAAGTGAGGGGAAGGGGAAAAATAATATAAGGGGGACAAATGAATGTCAGTAGAGGGAGCAGAGAGAGAAGAGGGGAGGGGAGGGGAGGGGAGGGGAGGGGAGGGGAGGGGGGATAGTAGAGGATAGGAAAGGCAGCAGAATACAACAGACACTAGTATGGCAATATGTAAATCAATGGATGTGTAACTGATGTGATTCTGCAATCTGTATATGGGGTAAAAATGGGAGCTCATAACCCACTTGAATCAAATTGTGAAATATGATATATCAAGAACTATGTAATGTTTTGAACAGCCAACAATAAAAAATTAAAAAAAAAAAAAAAAAAATAAAGTTGAAGTAGGACATTTGAGACCAGGGCCAAGTTGGGAGGCTGAAAAGACCTGACTATGAGGTTGAGAACTCTGGATTTTATTGGGTAATTGAGAAGCTGGTAAAGATTTCTAAGCAGAAAAAGCATCATCAAAATTGTGCTTTAGAAAGATCAATCTAGCAGTAATTGAAGTAACTGAGCATCAATCAAATGCAGATGATATAGCACAGTGAATATAATGTAAGCCTGCAGGAATTCAGGATTTCATTTATAAAAATGTAATTTATATGCATCTTTTCAGTAACACAGCTCTATAAACCGTCTTGCTCATAGACTAGTACCTAATTATATAAGCATCTAAAAAGGTCATAAGTACCATAAAATGATATCAAAAAACCTCTTGCCTCTGCCTGGAAATTCTTCCACCCCCTTTCCCTTCCGGTAAACTCCTTCTCCTGTAGGTCTCAGTTTAAATGTCACTTCCTCAGAAAGGCCTTTTTTAAATCACTTATCCAAATTGAGTCCCTCTGTTTTTCACTTTCAAAGGTACTTGTACTTTTTCTTCATAGTACTTAGCACAATTTATAATTAGATTTTTTGGTTACTGATGAATTAAAATCTATATCCCCCAGTAGAGTGTGAGAAGAGAATCTGTAAAAAAAAAAAAAAAAGAAAAATGTGGACAGAATCTCTTCCATTCTGTAAGAATTATTGAGCATAAAATTAGCAAATTATAATAGAAATAAATTATAGAGGATTAAAAAGTCCAAGGTGCCTGTTGAAAGTTCCATTTGCAGAAGCGTAATATTTTTCCTAATGATTCTCCTATTGCATTCAAGTCATGCATTTTTATGTCTCTAAGAATCAAACTGTTTCTGCCACACTGCTTACAGGACCAGCATGAGGTAATACTACTCTTGAAACACACCTGGAACTTGGACAAGCAATCATTTACTAGAACTTCTCATTGAAAGAAAAAGTAGCTTAATCTTAGCTGATACATAAATATAGGATTTTATCCTATAAAAATTTAATCATACTTAATATCATCAAATTGGCAAATAGCTATTAGTGAATTTCTAATATGAGGACTATTGTTTTCTTTTCATTTACTTCTTAATGTAAGGCACTAAATGTGGTTATATTAAAATTATTGACCACAGATAAATCTGTACTTCATTTAAATAAGTGAAATATTATTCTGAATTTCAACTGAATATGGAATCCTAACTCCAACACATTTCAACTGTGTGTCCTCAGTCAGATCTTCAGTTTCTTCAAGGGTAAAAATGAAGCACCAGTCTGTTCAGATATGAGGGTATGAAAATACACATGGCTCAGTACAGTTTTTTCTTTGTTCAAATAAATATTGGCCACTTCTCTTAAACTCTAATTCAAGGATTAAAATTTCTCCCTATGAACACTGTCTCAAGTTGCAGTTTTAATAAATGATATTGACAATATCTTGGCTCCTGGTTTAACCAAGGTATATGTAAATAAAAGCCTTATTTATCATTGGATTTTTCTGAGTTGACCAAATTTCTTTTAAAATAAATTTCACACAGTAATAAATGATATATTTGAAGTTATCACTGCAGTATTTATTTAAGCTTTTCTATGTGGTCTGTTTGATAATCACAGATCAACATAGAAACCCAACAATCAAGACCAATTGTAGTACATGAGACAAAGCATTATTTAAGCTTAAAAAGTAAAGATTTTGAAAACTTTGTTTCTGTTACCACAAGAATTTTAAACACAATTCATAAGAACATTATGATTCATCTATGACTGCTACAGTCACTTGCCTATTCATGTTACCTCAGGAGACATGAGAAAATGTGTGTGTGGTTGTATGAGGAAAACTTTCGAGCTAGAAAGACTTAGATATAAATGTGTGCTATTAACAAGTGAATTAGCAAGTTACTTAATTTTTTAACCTCTAAAATGGAAACAGAGTAGACTCAGAATTTTTGTAAAAATTAAAATCAAGGTAATATAATGGGTTCAGAATAATGCCCAGTGAACCTAATAAATACCTAAGATTTTTAGCATTTTACTTTCATTATTATCAGTTACATTTTCCATAGGAAATTAGGTATGTGTCACTAGTCCCCATGAACTGAACTGTCAAACAAAAATGTAATTCTTTACTAAATTAGAATCAACTTGATAACTATTAATGGCAAGAAATCACAAGTCCATATAGTTTTAAAGAGCATACCATATCCCACTGTAGAAAGACCCAAGTGTTTCATTCTATTTTTCACAAGTTCAGCCAACTCTTGTCTTTCTGACCTTCTGTAGAGGTTCAGTCGCTGCTGGGTTATTTTTTCAGCTGTTTTACCAGAGTGCTTGGGACCCTTTCTGCTTAGCCTCCGGGCCCACTGCATGCTCTTTCTCCGCAGCAAGGGGTGGTCTGACTGGTCACTGGAGGTGGAGTTGCGGTGGTTACTTCGGTGGTGGCCTTGCTCTTTGGAGTCTTTGGTGTCTTCCCAATCTTCCACACTGATAGATATTTGGGACTTTAAAGAAGATGAATATCAATAATTAGACATTTTAGGAATGATCATTGCCTGGCATTGAAATAAGATTAATTTGCTAAATCTTGGCACAGTGATGTATTTACTCATGAGAGTTTCTGTAAAAAGAGCAAAAGCATAATCATTGATTCTAATTGTCACTAAAAGCATTACAGAAAGTATATTTTCTTGAACTTAGTTATGAACTACATAAAATATCTACATCTTCCAATAGAAGTTTTTGTGAAAAGATTTATTTTTTCCCCCAACGTGTGTTTTAGTTACAAAAGACAGCTGGTATGCAGTTGCTTGAAATACAAAAACAAAAAACCTAGTTATTTTATTACTGCATTCAAATATAGTCCTTGTAGGAGAATTTTCTAAATCTTCTAAAAGTATTTAATATGCAATTTAAATGACTTTTACAAAAGTTGTTTTATTGGAATTATTAATATCTGAACTTTTTAAATTATTGCTCTTTCTAAAAGTGACACTCGCATAAACTTTATAAAATGAGGATTTTTTAAAACTCATATACCCCAGGAGAAGACAAAAAATGCATTTTTAAACTCCTGCTTCATTATTTACCATATAAAATGCTTTTCTGATTAAAATACTAAAACATTTCAGGAAACATTCTAAGTAAAAGTGTGTTGTAAATAGTAATATTTCACAAATGCTTCGTAGAATCACAACTAAAACTTAAACTAGTTTATTCTCCACAGGAGAGAAAAACTATGAACAAACTCACAATGCCTATTCTGACTTATTCTTTTACTACCAAATCCGAATTTTACTGTAAGAGTCTCTCCTCCACAAGTAAAAGTTACTCTTTCAACACCATACCAGGGAGTCATATGAAATGCAACACCCATCAAAGCAGAAAGACTGACTTCCTAAAAGCATACACATGCAAATGAACAGCTTCCTAAATTCTGTTGTACCTAAGAGCTACATTCATGAATCTGCTATATTCTCTTCTTTGGATGGAAGCTTATACTCCAGCTATAACATACATTTATTGCTGGTTTTCAAAGTAATAGAATTTAAATTACCAACTTAAGTAAGGTCAGGAAGTAGATCCAATAAAACTCTTTAAATGAGATATAAATTATAGAGGCTCAGTCAACGCTTTACATACAACTCATTTAGTAACAAGCTAGGAAATTACCTCACATTAAAATTCAAACAAAAATTCAAATATGTATTCACATTTCTGTTATGAAACAGTGCTATATTAGAGTGACATCAAAATAATTTATCTAACGTTCATATATTTATGACAGGTTATTTGATTAAAAATTTTATAAATCATATTTTATGTAGCAAAACTTAAGTGGAAGCATTAAAAAATTTAAATACCTTGGTCTTGCAAAAATGGATACTTTTATAAGTCTTAACTCTATTCTCACCTACTTGAGAATTTATTTCATTATATTATAATGAAAATCCTCTTCTGTGGAAGTACAAGACAAACTCTTGAGTAATATATATTACCAATAAAGCATATCAATCTTTGCTCAGCAATTTATATGTACTTGTGCCAGACATTAAAATATATTAGTTCACTCATATTTAACACCTGTTTGCAAAGTTATACCATAATTTTAAATTTATTTGAAGTGATTTTGGACACTGTAGTTCTAACTCTTTTAGTAATAATTTGATTTCCTACAAAAGTGTAAAAATAGTAATTTCTCCAAACCAAATACTCAAAATGTTAAGTTAATATAATGTCACTTATAATTCAAATGATGAAATAATAAACTAATAAGTATTTTACAGAGGAGGGTAATAATATGTTTCTCTTTCAAGCAGGGGTTGAAACATGACTTGTCTTTGTAAATGGGTCTCCTTGGTCATGTGTATCAGGCACGATATAAAGTATACATACAAATTATGAAATGAAATTTATTAACACATTGGTTAAACAACATTAAATGGAGTTTCATCATCATTTTGAAATCTCCAAAGAAGGAAATACCATGATTTACATAAAAAATCATTGAGAACTACATATACATTTTTCAATAAACTCATAAAATAAGTAGTATCTCTTGGTAAATTTCATCTTAACTAGATAAAAAAGGAATGAGAATAGTCTGGGGATTAATTTTAAGTAATCAAAACTAAAAACATGTAAGATTGCTCTTCACATATTTGGTATGTGTATTCCTTTTTTTCATCCTTTCAATATCACATAATGAAAAGTAAACTCAATTTTTGTAAGCTAAGATACACAAATTTGAGTGCTACTTGAGATATTTCCCAGATCTCTTTTTATAACAAAAATGAATAGCCTCCTCATTAAATGAGAATAGTAAGACTCATCTTCAACCCTACAGAAGTCTTGTGAAAATTAATATAATACATTAATATATAAAGAAAACATGCCAATTCTAACTTCTACATAAAATAATATTAATATGAAAATAAAAATTATAATCCATAATTTCAATAACTTCAATAAACATTAGTTATTCTATTAATGGTACTGAATGTGTGTGTATGTGTGTGTGTGTGTGTGTTTTAAAAAGAGGTCTATTTATACATTTAGTTTTCTGATGTCATTCATTGTCTGCTTGTATCTGTGCTCTGTTTTGAACATGACATTGTGATCTAGTTGAAATGTAGTAGGGGGAATGCAATGCTGACTTCATCTTAGGACCTTTTCCTGAACTGAGAATCAGAATGATAGAATAGTTAAAAGCAGGAGTTCTAGCCTCAGATAGACCTGGGTTTAAATACCAGTTCTATTACTTAACAGCCTTGTATTCTTGGTTACATCATGCAAATGCTAAGATTATTCCATTTTCCCCATCTTAAAAAATGGCAATTATATTATTACTTTGCCTACCTTTTTTTTTCCGAGAATATCAAAGAGATAATACATGAAAAGCATACAATATGATGCCTGACAGAGAAAATGCTCAATAAATATTAGTTAATTGTATGGCTTATGGGGTTTTATGAAAGAATAATAAAATGAGTAAAATAAAAAGAAAAAAAATATGAGGGTGATGTAACCATGGAAAATGGATATTAAAAGGAGAAAGAATAAATTTTTGGTGCAGTTTTCTCTGAATCTGACTATATTTCACAAGAAATCATAGTGTTATAATTACATTTTTAGTTTAGTGAATCTGAAGAAGAGAAAAAGTATATAAAGTGAAATTGGATGCTTATTATACTGTACCGTTTCTGTAGATTATTCTCTAAAATTTCTGTGAATAATTAGGATCTGGTTTAACTTTTTTTTTGTATTTTTATTGTCAGTAGCCTAACATAATCATTAATGTGAAAATATCAGAAATTAATATTAATGGAAAATACATTTGCATATGTTTTATAGAATATGTCTAAGAATATACATTAATGTTTTTCATACACCTATTCCAGCAATTTTCTTATTAATTTAAAAGATTAACTTTTTTGACTCATAAAATGCTTTCATTTTATTTGACATAATATTTTACACTTCAAACACCAGAAGTATGGAGTTCAGGTGTGTCGAGGACTCACGGGTAAGAACATACATCTAAGTGCAGCATCAGGTTTAAAATAGCTTGAGGCTTCATTGCTCTTCTTAATTTCTGGTTGTTCAAGGAGCTCTTAACTTAAGGTCTAGCATAATGAAGGCCCTTGTGAAGTCATTTTCTACTTGTTTCCTTGATTTACACATAAAAACCTACCTGATTAAAGGCATATAATTTTCCAAGTAACTGTTAAACTTAAAATGATGGAAAAAAAGATTAAAGATCTCTTTGCAAATAAGAACTAAAACATTAAATAAGAAAATATTTCTTATGCATAAAGTATCCTGGTTACTTTATGGTTTTTAGAAAGGTAGAAAGTGTAAGAATCACAAATGTATCTAGCAGTTTTTTCTAAACACATACAACAAAATGACTCAACTTCCTCTCAATTTTTTATTGAGTAGTTACTCATGTCATAGGTTATTGAGCAATCTATGGAACAAAGTGGTATTTTAAAATAAATCAATTCACCTAGTAGTCTGAAAGCGACTATTTGCAATCTGGATTCATGACTCCCTTAAGAAAGGTTTTATAGGCTTCATGATACTTAAAAAAAAAAATGGTGCTATCTGATTTATGATTCAAGACATTTAAAATTGTTGCTGAAGAAAATAACATTACTGAAGATGTGTCAGCATAACAGCTTATAAAAGAATCCCTATCTAAAGTTTTCCATTAAACAAAGGTTAAATTATAAGAATACTTGACAAAGCTTCTACATTCAAATCCACATTTAACATGGCTAGTGATTCTATGTCCACTGGATTTTTCTTTTTAATTAAAAATATCTACAGAAATATGCTTTATCAATTTGGAAAAGTTCAGTTGGGTATGTTCATGTAATGTATGATCAAAGCCAAGATTAATAATAGTTTTGTATTTACATATTTGTATTTATACATATTTTCAGAATTAGAGAAATAATTAAGCAATCATACAGTCTAAAAAATGCTGCATTTGGAATTAAATAACCAGGCTGTCATTTCAACCACATCAGGTGAATGTTTTATGTCCTTGAACACATCAACTGAGATTCTTATAAAATAGTAACATTAATACTTATGCTGATTTTCCCAAAAAATTGAACAAAAAATCATGAAAGTTTTGTAAATTCTATAAATTTTAAAGTGTAATTGTCATTAAAAAAATTTTGAGTTCAAACAATAGCTTTTTAAAAAGCTAATTACTTGGTGGAATAAGAAAATTATTTGAATCTTGACCTCATTTTTGCATCTAAACATGACATACTTCCTCTCTGCGTTCTCTTAGGTATCTTTTGGTTCTGTCTATATACTTCTATAAATATAAGGTTTATTTATATTAGGTATAATCTCTATTAACTTCCCACTTCAATTTTATAACTCTGAAAATCAAGACATTAATTTAAACACAGTTTAAACCTAGGGTACTTAAACTTTATAAAGCAACCTTTGATATTGGAGAGGCCCATATTTGAGCATGCTAATTTGAGAAGCTCGGGGAGAAGAGGCTTAAAAATATGAGCACAATAGAGAGAAGGTCACAGTGTATATACAACAACAGGTACTAATAGCAGCAACAACAAAAACAGATTCAAAAGAGGAAACAAAAAATGGAACCAAAAACAAAAAATGGAAACAAAAAATGCACAAAGTGGAGGTCATTTATTCCACTTTGAGACTCTTAATTTCCTAATAGAATTTATAACATAAAAAGAGGGAGACAAGTGATTTTTGCCTCTACAACATGGGTTCCAAATTACAACTTTATCATCTCCATCTGAAGGCAAATCTTCAGAGCCTTAACTTATGGCACAAATTGCTGTTTTGAATGGAGACACCACTAAATTTAAAGAAAGTTCCTTAAATTTGTAATGTGCACTAAAATTAAGATAATTTCTATATTACTGGGAGGTGGGGGAGGAGGCTTTTTAAATATAAAGTAAAAGACTAGCCAGGTGTGGTGGCTAATAATCCCAGTGGCTCAGCCTACTGAGGTAGGCAGGTGGATTGCAAGTTTAAAGCAGGCTCAGCAGTGAGACCCTGTCTCTAAATAAAGTATTTTTTAAAAGGGCTGAGGATATGACTCAGTGGCTAAATACCCCTGGGTTCAAATCCCAGTGGTGGGGGCGGGGAAGATCAGTAGATATATCTCACCTTGACCATCAGGACAATTGCACTGTATGAATTGATCATGGTCCTAAAATACTCCATAGTAGGCATAGATGTTCTGATGCAATGAATAATAAATTGAATTAGGTTAAATCTTTGACACTGAGAATCACTTTGACTAAATAGGACCACAGGACCTTCTGACTATCCAATATAAAATTTAAGCCCTTCAAAGATGTATGCACTCAGTGGCTCATTATGCTTTAGCACCCTGAAAGTTCAGCATGGCCACCAAGCTCTGCTTGATAAAAGGAAAATGGACCTACAGAAAAGGGCCAAACTTGTTCCACCTACAGGAAGGGCTGCTTTGTTGGATGCCACAGTGATGATGAACAGGTCATCCTTATCTCAGATCCTTTGTCTACTTAGGGAGTTTCTTGGAATCAATTTAGTGGGCATTGTATAGATGACAGTATTACTATTAAATATGATGAAACTTGCAGGAAAATCACATCCCTAATAAAGGACAGGACTAAAAGATCAGCACGGATGGGTCAAACTTTCAGAGAATCATATTAGCAGCAGATGTCTTAGATAATAGTAGGCTTCATTTACACATTTTTATAGACTTCTGGGCTATTGTCTGTGGTCTGGCTATTTGGCCTAGCTGATGAAAGCAAACAGATTGCCTACTGTGAGGTCAAGATCTCTGCAAATCTCCTGACTCATAGATATAGGAAATTAAATTCAAGGTCACGTATCTTTTCACACACTAATGCCACAATACAAGACTCTTTAAAACACTCCTTATAACCTTCATAATTCCTGATGTCCCATATTTACGCTGACCAATATACACATAACTTCTCTCTAATATACAACACAGGGCTATTAGACAAAGAATTCTAAGAAACTTCCATCTCCATGCCAACCATAATTACAAGTTACAGGTTACTTTAACAAGTTTAAATCGTTACTAAAGATAGGCATGTATAAGTCATCAAAAATTTCATGCCAGTGTGCAGTTTATATTCCCTCTGCATAGTAAACCTTATCCATCCCCTCCCCAATCACAATAAAAGCCAAGGTATTTCATGCTCTCTGCTCCCCTAAACCATTAATGGGAGAGCCCACCTTATTCTCCAAAAGTCTCATCAGACCGTCTTTTCACATATGTGACATCATCAGAACCAAATTTTGGGTGGGGGCCTCCATTCTGCCTCTGTGGAATTATCAAAACATTTCTCCTCTGAACTACACCCATTTAATATACTCAGATATAGTTCTAGGTATTAAATAAACTATACTCTAAATGCCTCTCCCTCTTAACAGATTGTAATCCATGAAGAAAGAGAAGGTATATGCCCATAAACATTAACATATATAGTAAGGGTAAAGTAGCAGTTAAGGACAAACATTATTGACATAGGCAATATAAATAAAATTGCACAAAATGGAGTTTATGCAAAGTGAAAGGATGATTCCATATTGAGAATATCTGTGACTGAGTTCAATAAATATATATATATATATATATATATATATATATATATATATATATATTAAGCTCTAGTGTAAGGCATATTGGATATAATAATAAAAAACAGGGTTTAAGTAAGCATATAATCTCAAGTTTTATATCTCAGAATCCTTAGTTGGATACTGATATAAAACTATGGAGCAGTGAGGAGGAGGAAAATTAGAAATCAGGAATATTGACATATAGAAAAACCAAGTATCATGAAACCAAGGTAGAGGTAATTTTCATGGAATAAAATGGTTAGTGGCTATTATGAAATAGCTGTATTAGTTTATTTTAATTTTGGGGGGATACCATTGAACTCAGGGGCACTCAAACACTGAGCCACATTGCAACCCTATTTTGTATTTTATTTAGAGACTGGGTCTCACTGAGTGGCTTAGTGCCTCAATTTTTGCTGAAGCTGGCTTTGAACTTGTGATCCTCCTGCCTCAGCCTCCTGAACCACTGGGATTTCAGGCATGTGTCACAGAACCCGACAGTTGTTGTTTTTTTTTTTTAATTTTAATTTCTAATGTGCATCCCATAATGTGTTTTTTTTTCTTTTTAATGTGGTACTGAATATCAAAACCAGTGTCTCATGTATGCAAGGCAAATGTCCTACCACTGAGCCACAACCCCAGTTCCCACATGTGTTTTTATAGAAACACTGAGGACAAGGAGAAATAGGGATAATTGGTTTATTTAAGCCCATAGAATTGTCTATTGTGGAAGTTTTCAATTATGGGTCATATGCCTTCCATTTATACAACTATGTTATACAAGTTACTGGTGACCCTGAGAAGTAAATTTTCTGTATGATAATTTGTAATATTTAATGTTTATTATTCATAAAGTCGCTATAACTCTATTAAGTTGTGTTATTCAGAAACATGCTTAAAATGTTTTATTAAATTGCCTTAATTATCCCATATACTTAGGATTCTGGTACATGAAAAGACTGACAGGATGATGGAGGAGGAGATCACAAGTTTGTTCTTTATGTTAAGAAATTGGAATACCTAGGCCTCAGAACACAAATTTCTACCCACTACCATAGAGGTCTTGGTTGTAACCAAAAGGCACGATGAATGTTCTGAGTTAATATATAAACGAAAGACCAAAACAATGTAAATATGGCTTTTGTGAATATACACTGAGGGCTCAAACATCAATTCCCATTTCAAACAAAGCATTTGTTGACCTCAGAAGAGATGCTGGAAAAGAGAAAGTGGCTAGAACTGTGGTGTCACTAATCAATTCTGAATCCAGATCTGGCACTTCTTAGGAAATGCCTATGTGCCTTGAGAAATGCCTGAGTCTCAGTTTGCTTTTTTAAAAATGGTAATAATATTTGCTTTCTGGCTTATTCCACGCAGCAGATGTCATTTGGTTTCACCCATGTTTTCCTTCTCTAAAAATGTTGAACTCATAAAAAAAAGAGTAGATGTTTTCTTATCAGGTATGAAGAGGTGTGGGGAAAGAGGAGATGTTGGTCAAAGGAATAATCTTTCAGTTTGTGTTGGAGACCTAACACACAGCATGGTAACTACAGTTAATAATAATGCATAATGTGCTCAAAATTTGCTAACAGTCAATTTAAATAGTCTCACCACAAAAATATTCTTAAGACTATTCTTAGATACTTCAATTAGGTAAAACAGCTTCTAAAATTCATGTCTGTATTCTGTATGCTTTTATGTCTCATCAGTGCTTGTACTAAGAATAGCATCAGGGTTCTCCATTGCGGTGAGAGAAGGATCTGTTTAATATCAAGCATTTGAAAAGGAAAGGAACACTGATTTTTGAACCACTTTAAGAACTATAATTGCATCTTGAAATAGCTTTCATTAATTTTAATTAGTACAAAATATTAAAACATAAATCCACTTTAGAATTTAATCTTTAAAATAGTAAAAATGAGGAAAAATAGTACATTTTCTTTTCTCAACCTTAATATTTTTTCAAAACATTAATTTGTTCCTCAAATTCAGTTTAGGCTAGCCCTGAAATTGTGAAAGATGAACATCTGTTAATTATTAAGGCACAATTCTGCCTATACAGTCAATTTAATAAACAAAACTACTAAAGTTGTGGGCTTTTAAAAACATTATGTTCATTGGTTTCTCAGTTGTTACTCAAGCAGGTAGAGTTTTGATATATTGATAATCTGAAAAAATCCAAACTGAACTAATGCATACAAATTATTTGAGGATGAATGGTAACATTAACTTTCATTCCTTTAGGGAAAATCTAAATACTATCTTGAAGAGAACACACTTCAGTATGATATATTTTATTTTTACTCTGAAATACCAAATTCATCCTTTAATGTTCTGTTCCTTTAATCGTTTTGAATTCATATATTAAACAATTTAGGAAAAAGAGACAAACAGAAGGTACTTACTTGTGATGCTATTTCTCGAGACTGACACAGAGGGAAAAAAAGAAACACACAAAATACAATTTAGACAATGACTTAACAATACATACATGAAACAATCATGAGCAGACACAATATGACATACCCACATGATACTAAATAATCTAATTATGTGCTTATCTATCATAGGTTTTTGAGGAAAGGGGGATGAAGAATAAGCTGTTATTTTTAATGTTTACCAAAGATTTGTTGTTTTCAAGTTATTTTTATTTTCTAACATTGTGTTTTCAAATTTGTTAGAAAGAAAAAGTGGTACTTGTAGGAGAAAATAATAAAAAATATATTATGGAGCTACCATATCTAGAACAGAGTACTGGACATAATCATTTACATTCAATAATCATTATTGGTATTGGTATCTGTGCTAGTAATTTTAATTTTGAATCTTATAGCAAAGATTGATTTTTTTTCTCTTACATATAAATATGATTCTGAATTATATATTCAGAGTCTAAAAATCAATCTTTCCAATCAACTTATAATAGTGAATTATTTAGGCATTTTAAAATTCGTGCTTAGGAATAATTCTAATGAATAAAATTATATTCTTTTTTGGGGGGGATATCATTGAACTCAGGGGGCACTGAACCACTGAGCCACACCCCAAGCCCTATTTTGTACTTTATTTAGAGACAGGGTCTCACTGAGGTGCTTGGCATCTCACTGGTGCTGAGGCTGGCTTTGAACTTGCAATCCTCCTGCCTTAGCCTCCTGAGTCACTGGCATTACAGGCATGTGCCACTGGGCCTGGCTAATTATATTTATTTTTAAATAGGAAGAAGTAAAATGTTTAACTCTATTCTCTGATGTAATATAACCCATCTAATCATTATCTAGCATTATCTACTAATTGCAAATATAAAAATACATAATAAAACATTTGATTGTTGCCTACTTGCATTATTTATCCCAGAATTCTTGACACATTGGCCACAAGGGGGAAAAAAAAAAAAAAAACATTTAGTCAATGATAACCAAAAATAGGTAGCAAGAATTTAGAAAAAAAAGAAAGAAAGAATTTAATAAAATACTTAAATGTCAATTTCCATTTTAATAGTAAGGAGTACATGATTGACAGATTGCCCTGTCAGCGACTATTCCACTAAGTACATTCTTTTCACATACATTTTGATATTTATTAGCACAAATGGTCCAGAAAATAATTGGGTCAAAATTACAAATTAATAGTAGTTAAAATAAAGATTGTTGAGCTGCATAGTTTCTAAGGGACTTCCACAGTCCAGAAAGCTATTTTGATCTCCTAAAATAGGACTTAAATCACAATATTCAAGAGGCAAATTTCAATGGAATCTCTTCATTTTCTCTTTGGTCAAAGCAAAATACAATAGAGGTCTTTGTTTATACCTGCAAGCCTACTTTCCTAATAAGTGACCACTAGGCAGATTCTTTAAGGCTATTTATTGGTTATAATGGTGATCAATAATCAAGGCAACATAAAGATTTACAAATTTATTGGGTACTCTATAAAAGATGTTGGTGCTATAAAAATGATTTCAAATGAATTGTTTCTCTTTTTTTAGTAAAATTTTCACTGATTATAGTATACTTCAAGCAAATGTGATTTTTAGTATAATGTAAAACTAGAGGCAAATGAACCTTCACCTTTTCTTATCCGAAAACCACAGGGATAAGTATGTTAATTCAGAATTTTTCAGATTTTGGATACAAGTTAGTGTATCATATGCTGCCCCAATGGAGAAAACATGAAAACATTAGGAGTCCTACAATGAAAAGTATAAATATCCTCTGTAATTGGAATAAGTAAACTTAAGTAATCTGATAATGGTTCAGATAAAACTTTGCCACTAAGGTCCCAGGCGTGTTAGCGCTCAGCTGTAATCACAGAGGCTCAGGAGGCAGAGGAAGGAGGATCACAAATTCAAAGCCAGCGTCAGCAATTTTGGGAGGCACTAGGCAACTCAGTGAGACCCTGTCTCTAATAAAATACAAAATAGGGCTGGGGATGTGGCTCAGTGGTTGAGTGCCCCTGGGTTCAATCTGTGATTGCCCCTCACCCCGCCCCCCCCCCCAAAAAAAAAAAAAAAGAAAAACCTTTGCCACTAAATGAGTTTGTGATCTCTTTAGGGATTTCAGAATTGTTTTTAAAGAGGTAAAGAGTGGTGGAGATAAATATGGTTTTACCTTATCTCCTAAAATAAACATGAGTCCTTGTGTTTCCTGATATTTGTTTTTTGAACCAGGAGAGTCTAGGAGAATCTGATGTTTGCAAAAATTCCCTTAAGTAAAAACACATATGGTTATAAGGTCTCCAGGCATGTTGATATGTTACTGGTATCAACAGATTCATTTGTACCCTGTTCTTTATAGACTGGTTTTCCAGTCACTGTCTACATTCCTACTTTACCCTCTGCTTATGTGTTAACTTTTCTTCACCAATTTATAGACCAATAGGGGAAAAAACAGATAAAATTCCAGTACTTTTATAAATTTTGTAGGATTTGCTCTGAATATTCCTTATCATTATTTGTCTTTTTAAACCTCTCTATTAAACTACTCAGTACTCTTCAGCACAGCCAAATAGACACATGACTTATGATATATTTTCTAACTCAACATTTAACATACTATAATACTGAAGACTATAAAGTTATATTGCATGCAAACCTGGGTCTACCTTTAAAGTGCAAGGAAAGCTGCCGCAGTCTGGCTGGGCACAATCAGGAGCTGGAAGTTTGCTGGGGCCCCTTCGGCTGTGGCTCTCAACAGAAAGCAATGCCTAGTTTTCATATTCATTTACCCCTACTAGATTCTTACATGAAATGTTGACATTAAATAAAAGTTCTTCATTGAAAGACTAGAATTTAACCACTCAGAACTATGAACTGAAGAAATAATCAATAGTCTAGCATCACTATTTTATGCCAGTTACTTTATTTGTAGTACTATCAGTTATAAATGCATAGTTTAGTCAGAGAATGTTATGATTTATTTTGAAAAACAGTGGAAACTACAGTAATTTCTCTTATTTCCATCTCAGAAGATTTAATCTGTTTTGTATTTTTTAGCCAGATATGTTTGTCTCTACTTTTATTTCTATATAAAATGCTTGAAAGTTGTTTCTTTGTCTTTATTTTTTTGTCAGTTTTTGTTTTAATCTATTGAATTCTCATTTTGAAAAAAAGAGGTATTAATAGTCTTTTTCACATATACCTGCAATCTATAGACACTGACATCTTAATCATTTTGGCTGAATCAAAATTCACAATGTATTATGACTAACAACAATCAACAGATGAGATAAATAAAATATGATTAGTATTTATTTCTTGCATACTTTTATTGTTGATAGAGATGTTATATTTCTAGAGTTAATAATTGTTTAAAGTAAGACAATTATCATAAATAATTATAATCAAAATTATATTACAAAATATATTTTTTAAATATGTACTTAACAATAATTCATTCTGAACTCTTTGACAATTGCCTAATCTTAAAAAAAAAATGTAAGATGCATTAGGTATTCTGCAGATTTCATCTTCCTAAAAAAATCTCCCTGAAGCCTTCTGGCCTTCCCTAGTTTCCCTTTATTTCTAGTGGTTTTAAACATCCTGGGAATTCTCTTGGACTCATTTTTACCTCCTAGTTTCCATAAAATGTTTGGTTTCCTGCACAAGATGATTAATTTCCAAGTTTACACATTGATTTTGTTGGGAGTCATTTTCTTAGAAAGCTCACAAGAGAGGATATTTTTAGAGACTCGGCATATTTGAAATATGATTTATTCTACTCCTAAGCAAGTTTGATAGTGTTAACTGAGCACAGATTTCTAGTTTAAAAACAATATTCCTTTCAAATCTTGAAGCCCTTGTTCCATTGTCTTTTGGCTTGTAGTACTGCTGTTGAGAAATCCCAAATGCTGAGTGGAATGTGACCTATCCCCCAGCCTCCTACCTCATTTTTCTGGATGCTTTTACAATCCTCTTTTTTCCTGCACTGTTTTGAAATTTTTGTGTTGATGTATCTCAATATAAGTATTTTTAACTTATTGCTAATGGCACTTAGTGATGATTCTCATGTGGTAATTATCACATTTCAATTCTGGGATTATTTTTGAAATTTACACTGATATTTCTTCAATTTTGCTACGTTTTCTGTTTTGGAAATTTTGTAATTTAAATCTTAGACTACTTGGATTAGCTCTATAATTTAATCTTTACTGTTTCCCATGTCTTGAATTCTTAACTTTACACTGTTAGCAATTTCTCTAATATAAAATAATAAACTTTTTTCACTTCTACTATATTTTTAATTCTCCAGTATTCTATTACAACTATGTTTCTTTAAAAATATATTTCCTGTTTATTTTCATTCACATAACATTATTTTTCTAGTAACATTAATTGTGGCTTTTTAAATACATAACTTTACTAAAACACACTGGGCATATGATGTAACTCAAAAATTTCAAGTATTAAATTCAAGGTTATTTTGGTTAACCTACCAAATTGTGCAAACCACCATAAATCAGTTCTAGATTATTCCCATCATGCTAATAAGTTCCACTTGTCCATTAACTGTTCATCTTCATTCCCCTGACTTCCCTCTGCTTCACATAAGTGAAGTGCCTTGAATAATTTCTGGTACTAAGCACAATTTTATTATTGGTCCTAGGGATAGTATTAGGGATGTTGATTGACTAAGTGCACTAGTTTCAGCACATTATTCTGATATAATGTTTATGAGAAAAGCTTTTAATAAGAATGTGGACGCATTGCTTGTACAAGGAAATGCTTGGCAGCAGTCTCTATGAATCAGGTTTTGTTTTTATTAATTAGAATGAGAAAAATAGTGTTATGGTTTAGATATAAGGTATCCCCCAAAAGTTCATCTGTTAGAGGATACAAGAAAAGTTAGAGATGAAATGACTAGGTTATTAGAACCTTAACCTAACCAGTGCATTAATCTTATAAATGGATTAAGTGGATGGTAATTGTAGGTAGGGCATGGCTTGAGGAGGTAGGTCATTGGGGGTGTGCCCTTGAAGTTTATATTTTGTCCCTGATGAGTGAGAGTACTCTCTCTGCTTCCTGGCTGTCTTAAGCCTCTTTCTTCCTCCACACCTTTCTGCTATGATGTTCTGACTTGTATTGGTCCAGAGCAATGAGGCTGGTCATCTATGGATTGAGACCTCTGAACCTGGGAGCCTAAATAAATTTTTCCTCCACTAAAATTGTTCTTATCAGGTCTTTGAATCACAGTGGCAAAAGCTAATCAACACAGTTAGTATCTTATTTCTAGGTCTATAAGGTTAGTAGCCAATGTGAACTGAGCAAAGAAATCACAGTACTCAAAACCAGGGTAAGTAACTAATATACTTTTTGTCTTGATACATTTGCCTTTTATGGGCATCCTATGAATGAAATTATGTAATATTGATCTCTCCTGTCTGTCTTTCAGTTAGCATATGTTTTTGAGGTTCATGTAAGAAGTTTATGTTTCTAAACAGAATTCTCTTATATGGATACAAGAACAATGATTGTTTCAAATTTGAGGTTATTATTAGCAATGTTACTGTTATAAATACATATCTATTTCTTTTTATTAAATATCATAAAAGTAGGTTTTTTTATCTTATAAATTTAATTTTTCTCCTTTCTCAGTGGTCCATCTTACTTACAATATTTCCCATTCCTGATTGTTTATTTTGGTATCTATATTTTAATATTAGAAGTCTTCCTGAATCATGAGTTCAAAGCCAGCCTCAGGAAGAGTGAGGCACTAAGCAACTCAGTGAGACCCTATCTCTAAATAAAATACAAAAAGGGCTGGGGATGCGCTCAGTGGTTGAGTGCCCCTGAGTTCAATACCTAGTAACTGCCCCCACCCTCCATAAAAAAAAAAAGTTTTCCTGAGATAGCATGAAATTTTTGTTATCTTCTCATATTTAAAGATTAAGGGAACAATATATGGGGAATTCTGTGCAAGATTCTTTATTTTGTGAGTTCATGGTAATCTAGCTAGATTAGTGAATTAGACAATCCCTTTGTGTCTGTGTTTTTTGACCTTTCTATTTGGCTTGACCTGATTCCCTAGGTAAGATACTTCTATTTGCTGCTGACAGGTAAAACATACAGAATATACCTTTTCTCTGATCTCAGAATTCACTGGGATAATCCTGGCCCTCAATTGTGTCCAATTGTTTTCAATTGTTTGTGAAATGTCTCCCATTTCACAAACAAAAGTTCTCCATAAAATAAGCCTTTAATATGTGCCATGTGAGTTGAGAGACAGTAGACTTTTTTTAATTGTGAGGGAGAATGGGGATCTGAAAGCTCTGTAAGCAAGTACACATCTGACTCTCTAATTACTGAATAAAGAGTTTCTACCTCCTAAAATCTGGTTGTTCGTTAATTTCAGTAGGAGAAAACACTGATGAGTTATTTCAATTTATGTTTTTGAAACACCTGATATTGAGAAAGAGGGTAGAATGTCTAAGCTGATCTTTCATTATACCCACTACATTATTATTATGTTTTTATGTAATCAAAAAGAAATAATGTCTCTTCACACAAAATTCAGTGTCATAGTGGATTAATATTTAATTGATGTTCCTTTTCTGTGTGTCTGTGCATGTGCGTATGTTGTTATTGCTGTTACTTTAAAAATAGAATGTGAATCTAAGGGATATTCACTTTAATGATGCTTTTGCAACTTGCAAAGCTATGATTGAAGGTAAATATTGTTTATCATGTTATCTAAAATCTCCTAAGTAAAAAAGGTCAGAATATACTAAATTATTTTCATAAATGACCAAGAAAAACAAATCTTATATAATATAAACTTACATTCTTTCATTCATTAGACCATAATTGCTACATAAGTCAACATAGTGCTATTTTTGCCTCATTTACCAGGAAAATAAAAGTAGAATTAATGCTAAATTGCAGTAGTCAGGGTATGTTAAACCTGAAATACCATTAATGTCTTTTTAAATATATTTTGGTGGAAACGTGTGATGGTACTACTTTTTTCTTGAATTATTTCTTACTTTTTATAGAATAGTCAAAACATAAAATTTAAATAAAAATGTGTCAAAGGTGAATTGAATTCAACACAGAGAAATAGCAAGTATCATCTTTCATCCAGTTTCATTTTATCTTCCCAATGACATGGGTTTTTAATGAAAAATAAAGGTTTGAAGATTCATAAGAATTCTACTGAGGAGATCTTTGTTGGTGAAGAGCAGAATTGATCAAAATGCAGTAAAATCCTCCTTGATGACAACACAAATACTCAGTTGTCTTTTCCCTATTTATCACACTTTACACAGAACACATAGACCCTTTAAATAATAAAAAATGACTGACATGAATATGGACTGGGCCTTACATTCAAATTTATAAGGCTTAAATGTAAAAATAAAATACAGTAATATATCATATGAAAAACTTCTTTATTTTTGCTACATCAAATAATAAATTGTTGGTATAGGCTCAATGTTTATGTTTCCCATGCCACCCAAAAAAATCATTAGTGCAAATCTAATCCATAATAATATTTGGAGGAGAAGCTCTTGAAAGGTGATTCAATCAAGAGGGCTGATTATAAAAGAGGCCCCAAAGAGATGTCAGCTCCTTCTACCATGACAGGATGCAGTGAACTGGGAAGCAGGCCCTCACCAGTCACCTTATCTGCCCAGAATCAGCTTGAACTTCTCAGCCCCCAGAACTAAAAGAATTAAATTTCTGTTGTTTATAAGTCATTGAGTTGATGATATTTTATTATGGAAATCTTAATGGATTAAGATAATGCTTAATCACTTAGATGTGAAAGCACTTGTCTTCTTTTAACCTATAATTAAATAATTTTTGAATTCAACATTCTTCAAATTTTAGGCATGGCTGCCAAACCATCTTACATATTTAAATATTTGGTATGTTTCTCCAGTCATTCATTTCTGATTTTCTTTGATTGGCGATTGCTTTTTGTGGTATGAATCATAGGGACCACATCCAAATGAAAGCTTTACTGCAGCAGAAGAAATGATAATAAAGCTCCATTTGTTATCCCAAAAGCTACAATGATACCACCAGAAACCACCTCAGGAAAACTGAATTATTCCCTGCTGGCCACAACATCTACCTATATAAATTCCAACTATATATTTAATAAGAAAACAAAAATCTACCCCATTAACCTTATGCTTTTTTTAGTTTTTTTTATATACAAAGATATGTTGTTTTTGTCACAAATTGGATAATTACTTGGACTACTGAAATATATACAATTGACCTAAGCCTAACAGTTCAGGTGATTTTACCTTAGATCCCCTTCTCCCCCCAAAGTAAGATCTTATCAAATTTCTGTGTGATTTATAATAACTTTGGGGTATCTGAAGAAGAAATATAAACTATTTCTTCACAAATATAAACTATAATGTGAACAATATTATACAATAGTGCATTACCTAAAATCATTATTTCATGAAGAATCTAATTTAAAAGGTGATATTTTACCAAGGATATAAAAACTACTTTCAACCACATGCTGTAACCATATTAAAATATACTGCATGTAGTCATCAAAATTTCATCTTCTATACTTCTAACTTGCTTTAAAAATTACCAAGTTTCTTCTGGCTGGTCTTCCAATATGCCTGGAGTTTTCTTTTGGTTGTACAAAGGTCTTTAATTTGAAGATTGAGAAACATGAATTTCAACACTTACTGACTTCTCTTCATTTTGCTTCCTTCTAAATGCTAACATAGGCAGTTGGAGAATACCTTACAAATCTAAGTTACTTTGAGAAATTTTCTTGTATGTCAGAACCTTAAGATTATTTAGAATTAATTTTATTCCTGACAATGTTCTAGAAACTGTTAACCTTAGATCTACAAAATGCATCCACATCCTGGTCTGTAATAGAGAATATCCCCCTAGACAGCAATATTTTGTGAAGTTCTGCCCTAGTTTACTTAAACAGCTGGTAAGTTTTTAGCTTTTGAGAATTGATACTATGTATGCATACAGCATTCTTTTTCACTTTCTATAGGGCTCTTTCAGGAATCAGTTTCTATGTTTATCAAACTAAACATCAAAAGTAGAATATGTTGATATTTCCAAACCTCAGATGTAGTGAGTTTCTGAGATTCTGTCCTGTAGATTCCAATGGGAACATCCCCAGTAGAAGAACACAGCTTCTGATAAAGTCTGGCATACGTTCTGATCCATAAGTCATCCTCGGTGATTTTCATCTATAATACATACAAATTACTTACATAATAAATGTTTTAAGAAATAAGTGAATTATTTTTCTCTTCTTCCAGGCAGAATTTATGAACTTTATTTATTTATTTATTTAGTAGTTTTAAATGGACCAAATGCCTTTATTTTATTTGTTTATTTTTATGTGGTTCTGAGGATCAAACCCAGTGCCTCACGCATACTAAACTTAAGAAATTTAAATACTCAATTTGGGACAGTATAACATTATAATAGTCCAATATCAACATGTAATAGGACACTGGGAATCAACTGTGAGATACTGTAGAACAAGTAGAGACATTCTAAAATGTTACAATAACTGGAGGCTGCATCGCATCCAGAATTTAGTGGAGAAAGTCTACTGGTGCTACAAAATGTAAAGATACTCCACTGCACAAAAAGACTTATCCTACACTTTCTTCTTAACAATACTCATATTGAAAGAGGTGTAGTGGAATGAGCACAGGGCAAACAGCAAACATTAGTTGTGGTCCTTCTTTGCTATTTGTTAATCTGGACTGTTAGCAAATCACTATATTCAATGCCCTTGAACACAGCACACTCCTATAAAACAGAGGCTGGTCCAGATATGGTGGCATGGGTGACTCAGGAGGCTGAGGCAAAAGGATCACTTGAACCCAGGAGTCTAAGACCAACCTGGGTATCACAGTGAGACCCTGCTTTAGGGGGAAAAGATGAGGGGAATGGGAAGTTAAACTCCATGATCACAGTTTTCCTGGAAAACATGCCATTCTATATCTGAACCTACTTGCCAGCTAGAAAAAAAAAATTGGTCTGAATTTGGTACAGAATGACTACTTGTTTGATTATTGATTAAAAATTATTTCCTGAAAACATTTTTTATAATTATTTTTATTGGTATGTTATGACTATATGTGACAGTAGGGTTCATTTTGACTTACTTGCACATGCATATAACATAATATGGTCAATTTCATTCCCTAGTACCTCCTCTTCCTGAAACAATGTTTAAGCAAAAAAAAAAAAAAAAAAAAAAAAAAAAACTCAGATATAACTCCTCTTTGGACACACATTAGTAAAAAATTACATAATTATACAAGAGTTAAACCAAAGTACATGCTGAATGAATTTTAGAACCTTGTATCACAACAATCGTCTATTCCAGAGATAATTAACTTACAGAACAAAGAAACCCCGATCCTGGTATAGTGTCCAGTCCCAACAGGAGTCTAGTGATAGAAATCATATAATCCTTTACAAATGACTGAAATATAAACAAAATATGTATGTATTATATACATGATATATGTAGAAAAGCTGGGAGATAAGACACCTATTTCTAACACATAACTTCTCATAACACATCATTAAATATCCATAAAAAAGTAAATTAAAAAACTGTCTTTTCAATATCCTCAGTAAACATGTACATTTTACATGTTTAGAAAATACAGAAAATAATTATTATTTAGAAAGATCTTAACATGTCTAAATTTTATGTGTTATTAGGCAAGACAGAACATTTTAGATGTTTTAATAACAAAAAACTACAAACTGAAAAAAGATGAATATCATAAAAATATTAAAGTGAATTTGCAATGAGTTACTTCAGTTTTTTAGTGTTAAGTTCAATGTATATAAATAAACATTGAACTAAAATTTTAAATAACACATCATTTATTATTACACAGATTCTCTTTTTCAATCACTGCACATTAAAATGGAACCTCTAAATAACTTTTTTTTTAAAGAGAGAGAGCATTTTTTTTAATATTTATTTTTCAGTTCTCAGCAGACATGACATCTTTATTTTATTTTTACGTGGTGCTGAGGATCGAACCCAGTGCCCCACGCATGCCAGGTGAGCACGTTACCTCTTGAGTCACATCTCCAGCCCCTCTAAACAACTTTTGATTTTGAATCATCATATATGTCTGGAATGACAGAGCATCTATCTTATTGGAAAAATTGAAAACTAGAACACAGTCTTTATAGACATACAAAGACTTTTATTAGTAAGATATTACAAAATGTGTGATAAAAAATCATTCCCTGGGCTAGGGGTATCACTTAGTGGTAGAATGCTTGCCTAGCACACATGGGACTCTGGGATTCAATCCCTAGTAGTAAAAAAAAAACGTGAGAAAGAAAAGAAAAAAAATATTCACAATAGTTCAAGAGCTATTAATAGCCTATGAAAAGCCCACTTGAGGAATTTATCTAGATTTTACTAATTCTGAAGTCCTCTGTTAACTGTTTTAAAAACAAGTCATGAAGTTCAAAATTGTAACCAGCAAATTGAAACAGAATAAAGTCATCAAGATAAAAAATAGCATAGCAGATTATAAGTGTGTTTTATTGTGAGATTTTTCTTCCAGTTATACACACAAACACCTGTATATATATGCAGATATCTATTAGATTGAAATGCAAAATAAAATGTTTGCTTTGTTATAATCCCCAAAATTTAAAACCTGTAGTTCTAAATCATTCTTTCTGCAGAAGCTTCAGAAAACAACTAATTTCCTTAACTCTGTTTATAATATAAAATATGAGGCAAAAATGAAGAAGTAAAAAAAACTTCAGCTTTCCCTTTCTACAAAGCTTTCCTTCTATTTAATGTATATATTAGACTTTCTCATATTATGTAATTTCAATAATGGATACTGCAGCCAAAAAATATGAAAAACTACTGGTTCAAAATAGCACCCAAGCATTTGTTTGCTATTGACTTAAATCTTCAGTTCAGACAATTCTGTTTAAACAAACTCTACCCTGCAGTCATCTTTTTAAGTGATAATAAAAGATTGTGTGTTTGGGGTGGGAGCTCTGCCTCCTGGAATTCCTGGTAATGTGCCTGGAAACTTTGGGTCAAATGGGAATATTTATTCTCTTTGTTGGGCTTGCTCTTGCACTCATCTGGTATCAGCAGATGGTTCCTGACATGGCTAGAGGCATATTCATGGACAAAATTGGCCCAAAGGCCAGCAGAAAAGTTTTAACTATCTTTGGATTCATTTATTCAGTCAAGCAATTATAGAAGACTATACGTTAATATATAATCAAAAAGAACAGGAACAATCAAATGCTTAGTTTGAGATTAGTGTTGTCAAATAATTTAAAGTCCTATGAACATCATCTTCCTTTTAATGGAAACATTTAGGGATTGTCTGCTCACTTTAATCAGAGAGTATGAAATATTATTATTGTTCAGTTGTTGGCAGGAATAATAAAAGATTATATTTGTGTGAAAGAGCATCTCCATGAATCTCTTAGCAATGATACAATGACAATGTTAACTTGGCATTCAGGAACAAACTAAATGGTTCTTTGTTATTGTAAAACCTTTTTTATGATTTTCTAAAGTAAGAAAAAATCAGAAGATGCTTAAATGTGTCCTTAGTTTATCAGTTTATCAATATAATTTGATACTTGATACCAAAATGGCAAAAAAGTAGACTAAGAAGAATGTTGTCTCTTTTTTAACTTAGTATTTTTCTTTATCATTTTTAAAGTCTAGAAATATGTTTGGAGTAATATGAAAAATGTATTAAAATGTCACATTGCAGAGAACTGGCACCAAAACAACAAGAACAACAACAAAGCCTAACAATAAATAATGTTATTTAAAAACAATGTTTTTAAATAACATTTTTCTTATAAAATGTTTCAGAGGAGCATTTATGTAATTAACTACATGAAATAAAACAGAAAATCATTTGAGAGCCAACATTAGTTAATAGCCTTAAATTTTATTGTTGGTTATTTAAACAAAATATAGGCTGAATATGAAATAACCATCTTTGAGAAAAAAAAAAGAATATCACATACCTGATATAGAAGAGTGTCCAACATACTGATGCTAAAAACCCTTCCAGCGGCAAAAGGCAGTCGAAACATGAAGGCTAAATTAGAACCTCTCTCCCGTTCTTTCTATTTAGAAATTTTAGAGAGGAGAATCTATGAGCATTCTCAGTTTTATGTATTTTTGCCTAGGTAAATTCTGTTGACAAAATAGATTCTTACTGCACAGTTCTTGGTTATTGAATCAAATGCAAACACATACTAAAGTCACATAATATACGATAGCAGAAGATTTGCTTTTAAATATTCACATATATGGGAACAAATAAGGCCGCTATCGTCTTGCATATTTGTGTCTCCTTAAAATTCATACCTTGAAATTCTAACTGCCAAGGTTATGGTTTTAGAAGGTGGGGCTTTGGGACATGATTAGGTGATGGAGGAGAAGCCCTCATGAACAGGCTTAGTGCCCTCACAAGAGACACAATCCCTTCCCGTGTGCCATCTTCAAACCAAAAGCAGACCCTCACCATCCACCAAAAGAGCCAACACCTCGATTGTGGACTTAACTTCCAGAACTGTGAGAGGTAAACACGTGCACCAGCCTATGGTACTACGTTGTTCCCCAGACAGACCAATACAGGCCCACCACATCCAGTAGCTTCTAGCTTTCCATCATCTTTATTTACTTCTCTGCCTCTTAAGTAGCGTCAGCCACACAAATTTGCAGGTAAGCTTCTGTAAATTTCCAAAACAAACAAACAAACAAACAAACAAAAAACACCATTGTTTAAGTGTGTATGTGTGTGTGTGTGTGGTGTTATGATGTACAGTGGTTTCTTTAACAAGAATTATTGCTGTTATCTTCCCTACTAAATGAAAGAATGAGAGCAAATATCAAAGTTTGAGAGGAAAAAAAAGTTTGAAAGGAGTTTCTTAAGGAAACCTGGTTACCCTTGTACTTGACACATGATAACCTAAAAATTGCTAGTTTATTTTGCTGCCAACTTTACAAGGAAAGATTGATACAGCTAGGAAAAGAAGAAAACAATCTTCACCAAGTGAAGCAACTGAGCTAAGCTCCTATATCTAAAGCGGAAAATTTAGGGAAATAAAGCTTCCTTCCCTTTCACCCATGTTAAAAATGGGTAGGAAGAAATACTTCAAAGGAGTCTCAGAGAGGAACTAGCACTACTGTTGCAGCTTGTTGTGATGATAGTATGAAAATGTCTGGAGTCCTGGAGTTCCCCAGAAGAGAAAAATGGAATGGGGGCTCCACAGTAGCCAGGCCCTGCTGGAGGAGGAATTATTAGCAGCACATCTGTCATGTTTCTCTAGTTGAGAAGATTATCCAGGCTATAAGAGTATCTTCACGTGAGATGCAGAGAGAAGACAAGGGAAAGGATAGGCAAGTGAATATGTCCAATACATTACAATATAATCTGTAATATACAACCAAGCCATTAAGAGTGCTTAATGTTGAACACACCTTGCAGATTGATTGGAGACAACTGGAATTAGCTGTTCTTATTGTGAATTTAGGGTCAAATGTAGCTCTTAAAGAGTGACAGGCATCACAGGTAAAACAAAGTCATGGTATCTTAAGCCAAATTAAGTGGGTGACCAGAATAAACTACCTGGCACCTTGGAGTTTGTCCAACATTTTCCACTAGGCAGGACAGGTGGGAAACAGCAAGATAACTGGGGGATTGCTCTTAGCTTACCAGGTCTTCCTTTCTGGGGCCTTTGATGATGACCTTTGTTCACTGGAATGCAATCTTCTAAACTAAGACTCATCTTCTCTCTTCATTACTTTATTTCTCTAGCTAACTAAGGGCATAGAATTCACAGCAAAGTATGTTTTTATGGTACCACATTTTTATCTGATCCCTTTTATTTGGTCAATTTTCTTTGATGTCAGAGTTAGCTGTATTCAAACTAAACAATATGAATATGGGCAAGAGAGTAGTGGTGATTGGATGGTGGCAGTAGAGAGGCATAGGAAAGTTCACCAGTGGTAATTATGCAGGTGTGAAGTGGGGTGGCAGTGTGTGATGGCAGATTCAGATGAAGCTGCAGAGGAACTGAGAACACTGAGCAAATTTTAACATGTAGAGGGCGACATGGTATCAAACACTGATGGAAAATCAAATAGAATGAACACTGAGAAAGACCATGATTGAGTAATTAGAACATGATTCCAACGGCAGCTTTCTCTTTTCTTTCTCACTGTGTAAACATCTAGTCTTTGGTTTTAAATATTTCATCTAGGACTTCTAAGCCCTTATGTTAAATTTTGCATCTTTCCCAAACTCCAATTATGCATCAAACTGAAGATCATTGCAAATTTAATCTCATATTTTACTTGAGTAAATTCCCCATCATGCTAAGTAATCTAACTAGTAAATCAGGGTCAGAAAACACTCACTAGTGAGTCTTTTTTTATCCCTCCTTGTCCCATATCTCCATCATACTTTCAAATTCACTTAATACCTCTTCCTTTTAACTTTGGTGCTTCAATGGAGATTTGAAGATATAAAGGATATAAAGTTCATGTTATGCAAAGCTCTCTTTCTTTAGTATTTATTTTGGCTGTTGTATTTTACAAGATGTTAGATATTTCTATTATTGCTTCTAGTAAAATCATATATTATAACTCCTTTTAAAACCATATTTCCTTTTTAATAGGCATTCAATTGAAGTTTCACTGTTGATTTTTTATTTTCTTCATAGTCACTTATTTTAAATGAGTAAAAAGACCCTGATATATTTATATCATGACTTAAACATCCCAGACACTTTGATACGCCTGTTCCTATCTATCTTTTCCATTAGGTTTGCTATCATGAACATATGTCTTTCTTGGAAGAAGAAATTTGTTTCTGGCAGAGATTTTGTTTCCTCTATTCTGTGTCCATCCAATACCATATGGAACGAGATGATAAAATTATTGGATTTAACAGAACAGTGTGGGAGGTGAAAAATACCAAGGATTCTGTTGGCACAAATTAGTGGCTTCTGTCCCCTACTTTCTCAGTTATGATTCTTTAGATTCCTCATTGTTCTCTCTGGACTCAATCACAACATAACATGCAAATCTATTGGCTTTTCTCAGTGTTCATCCTACCTGACCTTTCTTATAGTATTTGACAAAACATATTCTAATTGTAGAGATCTTTCTTTTGATATCACTTTATCTCAGCTACCAGACTACAAGTGGAATCCTCATTTCTTTTCTCTGATTTGTCTTTTTCCCAGACTCCTCTTTATGGACTCCAACACGTGGCCTTTAACTAAAATCTCTTTCCTGTAATTCCTTTTTTTTTTTTTAATATACTGTCTTTCCTTAAATGTATACTTCAATGTGCATAACTTTTTTTTTCTTTTTTTAGTATCTGTGTTTGAACCCTGAGGCACATCCCCAGCTCATTTTTAATTTTTTTTTTTTATTTTGAGACAGGGTCTTGCCAAGTTGCTGAGACTGGCTTTGAACTCACAATCCTCCTGCCTCAGCTTCCCAAGCCACTAGGATTATAGGAGTGCACCACCAAGCCTGGCAAAGAACATAACTTTTAGGTGTGCGTACATATATGTACATGGGTGCATATGTATATGTATAAATATACATACGTATATTTCCCATCCCTTTTGTTTCATTTATTATCACCTTTTTAATAAATATTGCAACTCTAACATACTTTAAAATATATCATCTACTCTACCAAAGTCAGTTCTTGCTCAGAATTCCTTGTATAATCAACATAATTACCTTGCCAATCCCAGACCAGGCCTTTATTATCTCATGCCTGAATTATTGAAATAACTTGGTAATTTTCTCCCTTTCCACCATAGAGTCCTTTTCTGGTAAATATAGAAATGCTATTTAATTTGATGAAAGCACAAATCTGATGATGTCAGATCCCCTGTGTCCTAACTTAAACCTGCTGAAGCTTCCCATTCACTATAAAAGAAATCCCAACAACTCAGCATTGAGGGCTGGCTCCCACAGTGCATTCCAGGATGACTTCTCAGTTCTTCCCAGCACAGACTACTGATGAGTCAGAATGGTTGTCGGGCTAAATCCTAAAAACTTCTGCCTTATATTTGAGCTCCAACTTACTGAATAACATAAACTTCACAGAGCCCACCATTTTCAATCTGCAAGTTCTCCTCATCCTCTATAATATGTGTAATATGTGATGCATTCTGTCCTCGGAAAAGCCTCTCATACCAACCCAGTGGCACTCTTCTGATTGTGTGATTCATTCTGCATTTGTGATTTCATACCTTTTAATTATTAACTTCCTTTACAGAGGAAAAATAATCAAAACTTGACAGCACCAACTTAAAGTCCCGTTGTCTATAAAATTATGGGAAAAGATCTTAAGCAACTGATTCCATCCTGATAAGAATACATTACATAAGTGCTTTCTTTTCTTTTAGTACTGGACAATGAATAAGAGGGAGACAAAAAGTTAGTGTTAACTATCCAGTTTGATCCACCAAAACTATGTCTCAAAAAAAGAGAAATAACATGAAAATGATTAGTCAATTAATTAATCACTGGCAGTGATCAGTCCAAAGCTAAATTATAGAAGTTTAATTAGTTCTACTATATTCATTGATGCTTACTAAGTTTTCAATATTTTCCCATAAATATCTAACTTTCTGACTCTAAATTTGGAAAATCATAGGTCATACAGGAGTTGGCCAGAGTTGAAAGCACCTGCTTCCTTTGAAATTCTTACACATGATTCACTTTTCTAATTAAAATTGGCTGCCTGAACTGAAAGTTCCTTATGATTCTTTACTTTAGAAAGTAAAATAGTATTACCTAAGGGGACTATAGTTAATATACTACTTAAATGTAACTTAGGTGAATGTCAATAATATGAGAAAGTAACACAATGAATAAGCTAACTGTGCATATAAAAGTGCGTGTTAAGTTAAAGAAGAAAAGGAATCTTTCTAATTGCCTGTAGAATAATCCTTGCTTTAGGATAAAATTCAAAGCGGTGGGCCTAGGGATGTGGCTCAGTGGTAGAGCATTTACATATTGTACAAGAGGGTTCAGTCCCAGCATCCCTGCTCCACCCTACTCACCCCAGCTCCAGGAAGGAAGGAAGGAA